TTTCATGTGTGTTACCATGATGGTGTTTAGTGTTTGTGTGAATGACACTGTGCACCTTCTATATATGTTATTATTTAAAAGCTGCTTGTGATGGGCTTTGGTTCATCATGTGACTTTCTCATCACCACCTGCATTTGGTGGTTATCAGTGTATTACAAAGGTACAAAACAGATTTCAGTACTTCAATAGGTTGGTATATTAACATTATATCAAATGAAATTACGGTATTTAACTGTAAATTTAAGTTAAAACCGTAAAACCTAAAACGTTGCTACCGTATTTTTTACGGTAAAATTCCGGCAACCACAGCTGCCGGTTTTTTACCGTAAATTTTACGGATTTTTTTTACAGTGTAAGTACGAACGTCCCAGGAGGACTTGAACGCAGCATAAGAGACACATCTGAGATATTATAGAGAGCTGAGGTGCACCTGTTTGCTGCTCCTGGTTTTGGGGCAGCACCTCTTCTACACAGTCAGCAGGAAACCAGCCTGTTCTGCCCTTCGCTGTTCCTTCCCAGAATCCCCCTTCACCTACACTCAACACTGAGAGGGTTTGACAGCTTTAATAAACCTTAAATATTCAAATGTTAATGCTACATTGAAGAGAATGACATAAAGAGACCTCTGACCTTTGACCTTGTCCCCTTTGCTGAGGCTGATCTCGCGCTCACCGTGAGCAGAGTGAGAACGAGTCGCCACAAACACGCGACCCGGAACAGCGCTGTAGAGACGTTTCCTCTGACCTCCTCTACAACACACACACAGACCCACCAGTGCTGTTACTGTTAACTCAAATAAACCTATTAGCATTTTCAGTAATCGAAAATCAAATAAACATTAGATTAAAAACTTACAACTTGTGTGACAAAGTGACAAAAACACACAACTGTCTTAAACTTCTACTAAAACTAAACAGACATTTAAAAAATGACTAAACATAATCTTAAACTACTACTAACGTTTCTGAAACTAATACTGAAATACATGTAAATTAAAGCTATACAGAAATATTACAAAAACTAATGAAAATGACAAAAACGCATAAATTTAGATTGAAAAAAAATGAAATGGAAACTAGAAATATTGCCTTTAGTAACTAATGGAAATAAATGTTTAAGCTGGAGTACTAAAATAACTAAAACTAAAACTGAAATAAATATAATGGAAAGCTAAATAGAAATATAAAAAAAAATACTTAAAATGACCAAACATAATGATCTTAAACTAATATTAAAAATTCTAAAACTAATGCTGAAATAAATATAAATTAAAGATATACAAAAATATTTAAAAAAATAATAAAAATGACAAAAACTCATAATAAATTAAAATTTACTGAAATAAACACATGTAAGCTAAAGTACTAAAATCACAAAAATTAAAACAGAAATAAATATAAAGCTAAACAGAAAAATTTAAAAACGAATAAAAATAAACAAAAATACATAACAAGCCTAAAATTAAAAAAAACCTCAAAGTACTAAAATTAAAAGTTAATAAAAAACTATGTCGAAATATTTACAAAGAAAAGCAATAACTGATAGAATTGAAATAACAACTAAAATAAACTAAAATTAAAATGGAACTGAATAAAAGATCATGTCAAATGTCAATAAATACGTAAATATATAATATGATAAACAAATACATAATACTGGGACAGAATACAGAATATACACTAATGGGAACATACAGGCAAAAAGTTGTATCCCATCCAAAGTAATAAAAAATAGTGTAGGCGGGTGACTTTGTGCGTTAGTGCCAATGAATAATGTTGGCTCGGCTTTGTTTAATAGGGTAAGTTTCCAAGGATTTGGTGCAGGAATGTGATTGTAATAACTCCTTAGTATTTGGATCTCATCCATTATTGAACACCGTGGGACCAAACCCTCATACAAAATCATTATTTCAAGGATGTTACCAAAATTTCAAGACTGGCTGGACCAAACGGAGAAGCAAAGGTCTAAGAATCCGCTTTTAACTTCAAATGTACTGCTGTATAGATGCCATAGAGTGCATGTTTTAGCCTGATGGTTGATTCTTGTACACAGCAGAAAGTGTTTGTTTCTTAGCCACTGAGTAAGAATTAACTCAGTATGGCAGTGGAGCTTTGGCCAGAAGCCGAACAGCACAAATCACGACGTGCAAAAGTGATTCAGAGCTTCTGTAATGTACCATAAGAGAGCAACAGAAACCAACGCTGACAGTTTAACATATAAAAACACCACAATGATAGAGGTAAGGATCTAAACCAGTATTTACACTTGAAAATTGTCTATATAATCACTGATATTAAGCTAAAATACAGTATGATGAATCTCAAGACAAAACGTCTAGGTCACATTTTGCCCCAAAAGAAAAGGATTTTGCCTAAAATATCATTAAAAAAAAAAAAATTAAACCTGTTTTTAGGGCCATAAAAAATGGTCATGATAATTAAGCACATTTACCCTTCTCGTTACTTTAATGCATCCAGACATTTTAGTTTTGCATTTATTTTTTGGTAATTTACTTATGATTATATATATATATATATATATATATATATATATAACACTGAATTTTAAAAAAGCAAACAACAAAAAACATTGTATTATTTTTTTGTTGTTTGCTTTTTTAAAATTCAATTAATTAAAGGCAACACAACAGAAAATTGTGTTTAATTAAATTAAATTAAATTAAAAGCAATATAACAGATATTAAAAATTATAAAAATGTCAAATTAAAATACATACTTCTAAAGTGAAAACAATTAAGATAAAACACTCTGTCTGTTTACATGCATGTCATGTGACCATTAACCAACATCAGAAAACCGCAAACTTGTTGTTAAATATCTCAATTTATTACATTATTTTATATTACATAATGTTTAAACATTAATTCATGTTTCAATTGAAAAAAAAAAAACAGGCTCAATTTGCTTAAAGCAACAAAAATCATAAAAACACAAAACAAAATGACTAAAAATTAAAATAAAATTAAAATTAAAAATGTCATTTCAAAATAGTAAAATATAATACATCATTCAAACTAGAAAAACTGTAATAGTGAAATTTTTTTTTTTGAAAATATTTAGTTACTGATCCGTTATATTTTTTCTTTAATTAGCATCATTAATTAGAATTAGTAACAGTAAAAGCATTAGTAATTAGTAACAGCATTAGTAATATACTCCCTATATTATTGCACTTTTAGCTGTATTATTTATTTAAATAATCACATTATTTCAATTTCATTTTTATTTATTTCTGATTTTTCTAATTCAACTTATTTCATTTTAAATCTCATTTTATTACTATATATTGATTTTATTCTCTTTAACATTTGAATTTTTTATTTAAATATGTAATTATTATTTTTTTATTATTTATGCATTTGTTTTATTAATTTATTTTCAAATATATTTATGTATTTAGTTTAGTGAATTGTTTCATTCAGACTCAGTTACATAAATCAGGTTTATAGGGTTTTTAGGAACTTTTATTTAACCTGCCAAATGTGCAAAATAAATAAATAAATAAACTTTTACAGGATTTCATTTTGAAAATCATCACCACATACATACCACATACAAAGCGTCGCCTTGGAATTATAAGGTTCTATCTGACATTTTTATCAAAATGGAGTTATTCACATATTCTTATTTACAACTTATTTACATTACGTGATGCTTCTTTTGTAAGCTGTGTACATTTTGGGACTTTTTTTTTTTTAAAAACAAAAAGGGTTCTTTCTACAGAAATCTATGGAACACGAAAACCCCCAAAAATCTCAAAACTGCTCAGAATGCAGATAGAACCTTAGCATTCCAAGCCGGCCAATGGTCAAAACAGTCACCAGAGACAGATGTTGGTATCTCAACTCACCCCTGCCTCCCTCGCTGTTTTTGCTGCCTTTCCTCCGTCTCTCCTCCCTCTCTCCCTCGGGACGGGGATCGGGTTCGGGCTCCGTGGGGACTGCTGGAGCTCCTCAAAGCGAAAGAGGCCCGGCGCTGAGTCTGATTGAAAGCAGAGAAAAGGAGTGATTTGGCGACTGATGTCTGTGCTGGCGTGTTCCCCTGACGGCCAGCAGGAGGTGAAGGGCTACCTGAGCAGGTGGCATGCTGGCGGCAGCGGCGGGCAGCACTACGGGGTCCATGAGCGTCGTCATCATGTTCTCGCTCTTGGCGCGGAGCAGCGGGTGAGGATGCTGAAGGCCGGCCGTGATGGCTTGATTTAACATACCGTCCATAAACAGAGGAACGTATTTTGGAGTTTCTAAAAATGGAACTGATGGGAAAAGAATCAAAGATTAGAGAAGAAGAGATTATATAGAGATGGGCTCTGTTCCAGAACCTAGTGAGCTGCCTTGATGTCTACATAGACAGCTGCCTTCAAAGGAACTTCACAAGCAAGCGATTTGGAAAGACTACATAGGCAGAAAATAATGAAGTGTGTGAGAAATACAACTCAGAACTGATTCAAATGGAGCTTGACTTTAGCAAGTTCCTAATAGTGTTATTTATTTACTTTATTGGAATTTGTTAATATTTAGAATTAGTTTTATTTTGATATATTCAGTTTTCATTTTAGTTTAGGTTTTATTAATGTAGTTAAGTGCCTTCATATATATATATATATATATATATAGAGAGAGAGAGAGAGAGATGCAGAGCAGAGTGTGTGCAGAGCAGGGGGATCCGAGGAACAGGATTAAGAACCGCTGCTTTAGAACATTGATTTTGAATAGTGCTGTCAATCGATTAATCACATCCAAAATAAAAGTTTTTGTTTACATAATATAATATATGTGTGTGTGCCGTGTATATTTATTATGTATATATAAATACAAACACATGCATGTATATATTTAAGAAAAATATGTTGTGTTTATATATTAAATATATTTGTACAATATAAAATATAAGAATATAAATATATAAATGTATATACGTGTAAATATTTGTTTTTTAAATATATACTCTATGTGTGTGTATTTATATATACATAATAAATA